AGTGTATTTTGTCCTGCGTGTGTAGTTAGCAAGCACAACTGAGATGTCAAAACAAAGGGGGGCCCTTTATCCTTCATGATTAATGCCAGCAACCAACTGTTCCCGATGTCTACTCCCTTTCATCCTCAAAACTAAGGTCTAATCCTAGCTCATGCCATCTCCACCAAGCTTACCATGTTTCTCTCTGAATACCTATTCATCATGTATCTCTACATCCAAATGCCACCTTACCAAGAAATCAACAGGATAGCAGGCATTCACATTTCAAGAAATGTGATTGATTCATAGCAGAGGATATAGTCGGAGATGAGCCCTCCTATAAGCCACTGAATGAGTCCATTACAGGAAATTCCTATTGTGTACTAAGTAATGTCATAAAAACAGTGGGCTTCATAATCTAGCCATTGCTGTTGACAATGGTCACTGTGCAATAAAAAAAAAACAAAAAACAAAACCTCCAAACTCACTGCCATCGAGTAGGTTCTGACTCATAGCGACCCCTCCTTGGGTTTCCAAGGCAATGTCTCTACAGAAGTAGATTGCCCAGTCTTCCTTCCAAGAAGTGGCTGGTGGGTTTGAACTGCCAGCCTTCTGGTTAGCAGTCAAATGCCTTAGGCACTGTGCAATGTTGTTGTTGTTATTATGTGCCCTCAAGTCGGACCTGACTCATAGCGACCCCTCCTTGGGTTTCTGAGGCAATAGGCATACAAAATTAGCATAAAGCACTGTGAAAGCTCAGGTAACTTACACAAGCATACTCAGTCAAAACGTAACAGATAAGGACTTGAAGCCAGGTCTTTTTGGCTTCAGCTTTCTTGGTCTTTTCCGTTATTTCCTTCTGGGAAATTATATTCTATCTGGGAAGGCAAAACAAACAGGCATGAAACAATGAAGTGCCAAGTTGTGTGGTATGGTTTACAAGTTCAACAAAAGGAATAGCATGGGTTGAGGGGTTAAAGAAAAAGTTTCTTGGAACACTTTTGCAAATGAGCACTACATGGAAGTTCAATGTAAAATAGATATGCATAGAGCTGCTCTGATTGGAACTAGAATAGGGGCCCAGGGTCCCTTTCCCACTCTCTAAAAATGGGTTCTCAGTGGTTCCTCAGATGACCAGGGACTCTGCTGAGCAGTTTGGAAACAATTGGGCTAAATCAGTTGCTCTCAAAGTGCAACTTGACCCAGCAGCCTCAGCTTCACCTGGTAACTTCATAAAACTATAAATTCTTGGCCCCCACCCAAGATTTATTGAATCAGAAACTCTGGAGTGGGGCTTAGCTCCTAGCAATGGGATAATATCCATATGCCTATAAAGAAGACCAGTTAATACTACTATTATTCAGATTTACACCCAACCACTAAAACCAAAGATGAAGAAATTGAAGAATTTTACCAGCTTCTGCAGTCTGAAATTGACCAAACATGCAATCAAGATGTGTTGATAATAACTGGGAATTGGAATGCAGAAGTTGGAAACAAAGAAGCAGCATCAGTAATTGGAAAATATGGCCTTGATGACAGAAATGACACCAGAGATCACATGATAGAATTGTACACAACCAATGACTTACTCATTGCAAATACCTTTTTTAAACAACGTAAACTATGACTGTATACATGGCCTGCCCCAGAACGAATACATCAGAATCAAATCCACTGTATCTGTTGAAATGCTCAATATCATCAGTTAGAACTAGGCCAGGTACAATACTGTGAAGCAGACCACTAATTGTTGCCATACAAGTTTAAGCTGAGGCTACAGAAGAAATTCTGCTCTGGAGATCTGCTTCCATAAAGATCAAGGCCCAGAAAACTCTATGGAGCAATTCTACACTGTAACATATGGGTTAGCTATGAGTCAGAATTCACTCTCCACAATGAGTTTCTTTTTGGGGGTTTGTTGGTGGTGGTAGTGGTGGTGGTTCTAAGAAAGTATTGTTTTGGTCCTAAAGGGATAAAAAAAAACTTTTATTCCTCTCTAAAGTTGACCCAGGAAGCATGTAACTTTAAAGCTTATTAGCAGCCATCTTTGGACCATGAGGAAAGAGCTCACATGACAACAGAGGCAATAATGAGGAGACTGAGCAGAGAAACAATGGAAAAGAAACTGGGTTCTTGTGCTAGCCCTGAAGAAACAGGTTAAGGTTCATCTGAACCCTATCCTACGTGTGAACTCTCCAGCTGTTGTTTAAATCCCTGTCTCTGCTTAAGTCAATTTAGGTCTTATTTTCTTCCATTTGTAACTAACTGAAAAATTCCTGACTAATGTATAATGCTAATGCGAGCCTCAGAATAGGGGAGAAAAGAGTGCACGTTTGGGGTAATCTACCACTCTGGGTAGAAAGCAGCCATTTAAGAAAAATAAAAAAGGGATCTACAAAGTCACATTGATGTATCTGACTGTGAAGGGACAAGAGAGGTGGCAGTGGGATAGACAGGAAGGACTGGCTCTGAGCTTCAACACGAAAGAAGTGCCCATCTGTAGGGGCTGTGGCCCCTATTTTGATTAACACTACTGCTTTCTTCTCAGGGATGATGAAGGCCCCCAATTTATCCCCAGGGAAATGATGCAACCAGTTACTAGATCTTAGCCATATCAGGGAAGAGATGATCAGGGAAAGAGAAGGGATTACTTGAGCAGATGCCAGAAATCAAAAAAGGCGGCCAAAAACAAACAAAAAGTGTATGAGGGAAGTTGTTGTTGTTGTTGTTATGTGCCATCGAGTCGGCCTGACTCATAGCGACCCCTCCTTGCGTTTCCAAGGCAGTATCACTACGGAAGTAGATTGCCCTATCTTCCTTCCGAGTAGTGGCTGGTGAGTTTGAACCGCCAGCCTTCTGGTTAGCAGTCAAGTGCCTTAGGCACTATGCTACCAGAGCTCAGAGAGAGAGAGAGAGAGAGAGAGATCGGGAAGAGGAGACTATAAAAGAAAAGAAAACTGTGGGGGTGAAGGAGAGAGGTTATGAACATAAGCATGGAGAAGAGAAGGCACTGTAGCATAGTGGCTAACGTTAAGGGCCCTGGGACCACATAGATTTTGGTTTCAAAATCTACGCATTATTTGTTGTTGTTGTTGTTGTGTGCCCTCAAGTCAATTTTCAACTCATAGCAACCCAGTGTGACAGAGTAGAACTGCCCCATAAGGTTTCCTAGGCTGTATGTAATCTTCCCAGAAGCAGATCAGCAGGTTGCCGGGTGTTTTTCCCAGGGCGTGGGTCTGAGCCACCAACCTTTCTGTTGGCAGTGGAACACTTAACCTGTTACACTACCAGGGCTCCTTGCCTCCTTACTAGCTGTCCTAAATCACCACTCTAAACTTCCTTTTCTTCCTCTATAAATGAGCATAAAAGTACCACTCTCATAGGACCACTGTGAGGCTCCAAAAATAAAATAGTAAAGCCTCTAGTAGACTCCGGTGGGGTAGTGCCTAAGGCATTTGACTGCTAACCAGAAGGCTGCCGGTTCAAACCCACCAGCCACTCCTACTTCCCAGTGATGTTGTTGTTGTTGTTATGTGCCGTTCAGTCGGCCCCGACTCATAGCGCCCCCTCCTTGGGTTTCCGAGGCAGTATCACTACAGAAGTAGATTGCCCCATCTTCCTTCCGATGTGTGGCTGGGGGGTTTGAACCGCCAGCCTTCTGGTTAGCAGTCAAGTGCTTCAGACACTACTCTATCAGAGTTCCTTGGAAACCCAAGGAGGGGTCGCTATGAGTCGGGATCAACTACACCGCAGTGAGTTTGGTTTTTGGTTTTCTAGTAGACTGGCTGGCACAAAGTAAGGAATTCATTACATGTAGGTTTTTATAAGGAGCTCTGATGGCCTAGTGCCTAAGGCACTTGACTGCTAACCAGAAGGCTAGCAGTTCAAACCCACCAGCCACTCTCGGAAGGTTGGGCAATCTACTTCCGTAGTGATACTGCTTCGGAAACCCAAGGAGGGGTCGCTATGTTTTTATAAGAAAGGTGGATGGCCACAGGAGAACAGGAGAGGAAGAAAGAAAAACGCTCTTACTTAGATCTGGATCCTCCTCAGTAGCAAGCACGTAGTGAGTATCCTCATTATAGAAGTAATACTACACATAGAGGAAGGGAAGTTAAAAGGATCACATTTCTAAAAGAAAAAGCTTTTGAGAAATGATAGCCAGTTACATTTACTTAATTTTCTCTGTGTTGGACTACTATTCTCTGACAGAGGCATTTTTGAACTGGATTCACAATAGTCGAGAATTCTCAACATACAAGAAGGAAAATCACTTAACAGAATAAAATATTACAGCAAATCAAAATAACCCTAGAGACCGATTTTATGTGGCCATGTGTAACAGTACTTCTTGCCAAATCAAATCTCCCTGGGCCGCGCAGGCCGACTAGGACCAGAGCGTCCTGTCCTCAACCACCCGCCCCGGGGACTGGGTGAGCTGGACGCGGCCATCGTTGGCGCTTTTGTTCAACCTTGAAGCCTTCCCTAAAGGCGATCGCCAGGCAATTGGGCGGGGAGGGGCGGAGGAGGAAATCTGAAACAAAGAGAGACCAGGTGGAAAGCCCTTGGGACCAGGAAGGGGAGGGAGGGGGAGAGAGAGAGAGAGAGATGGGATTCTGGTTTGGCGGTAGCAGCTGTTACTGACTATTAATAAATAATAGAACTGTCTCATATGCATAAGACCTTTATCTTTAATAACAATGAATCCTGTCCATAACGCATTCTATTCGTGATAACAATAGCCCTACAAGTGCATTCCCGCCTTTAATCTCACCATCCGCTAAATGTGTTTTAGTATTACCATTGTAATAAGGAGTCTGACTCAGAGAGGTAGCGTACTTCGAGCATCACGTAGGGGGTCCAGGCTTGATCCTAGACCTCCAAATTCTGGCGGAACGGTGGCCGCGAACCTCAGAGAGCCGCGGAGCAGCCTCCTTGCTTGGGGAGGGCCGCAGGGACGCGCGGGGAATACAGGTAGCAGCGCCCCGCGAGGGGGCGGGCTCAGCCAGCCGGTCCCGCCCGGAACCCCCGACCGCCCACAAGACTCCACCTGGCCTGCCCAAGCACCTTGCTGCTGTGCCGTCGCCCTCGCCTCGCTGCGATCCCGGCGTCCTGCCGCCGTGCGCCTCCGCGCAGTCCGCCCTTCGTCCTCCCGGAGCCCGCCCCACCGCCGCGCTGCACGACCGTAGTGCGCCCTCTGCCCTCACCGGGACAGGGGGTCCCGCCGCCGTTATGCTGCCGGTCATCTATACTGCTTTGGCGGGACTGCTACTCCTGCCGCTGCTGCTAAACCTCTGCTGTCCCTACTTCTTCCAGGACATGGGATACTTCCTGCGGGTGGCCGGCGTGGCCCGGCGGGTGCGCAGCTACGGGCAACGGCGGCCGGTCCGCACCATCCTGCGGATATTCCTGGAGAAAGCGCAGCAGTCCCCACACAAGCCTTTTCTACTCTTCGGCGATGAGACGCTCACTTACGCGCAGGTGGACCGGCGCAGCAACCAGGTGGCCCGAGCACTACGCGACCACCTCGGCCTGCGCCAGGGAGACTCCGTGGCACTCTTTATGGGCAACCAGCCGGCCTACGTGTGGCTGTGGCTGGGGTTGGTTAAGTTGGGCTGTGCCATGGCGTGCCTTAACTACAACATCCGCGCGAAGTCCCTGTTGCACTGCTTCCAGTGCTGCGGCGCGAAGGTGCTGCTGGTCTCGCCAGGTGAGCCCCGGGTACGCGTCCCGCCCTGGCACTGGGGCATGTCAGCGCCTTGCCGACCGCAGCGTGATGTAGGGAGGTGGATGAGGAAGGCACTGATCGGAACTAGGGTATAGATGGAGGGAATAGAAAAGTTTTCTTGAAACTCTAAGTAGAACTACCAACTGTTGGAGCCTATTCTGTGTCAGGCGCTGTTAAGTATTGCTTTTAGTCCTCACAACCAAACGAAAAAACCAAACTCACTGCTGTCTAGTTGAATCTGACTCATAGCGACCCCTCCTTGGGTATCTGAGGTGGTATCTCTACGGATGTAGATTGCCCAACCTTACTTCCTAGAAGTGGCTGGTAGGCTTGAACCACCAGCTTTCTGGTTAGCAGTCAAATGCCTTAGGCACTAGGCCACCAAAGCTCCTAATCCTCACAATAGGTAGGGTTTATAATATCCGAGTTTTATAGATGAGCCCACTGAGGCTCAAGAGAGAGGAAACTTCTTGTCACAGGTCACAGAGCTGGAGGGCAGAGGGTAGAGGAAGGAGAGACAGGACTACCTACTTCCAAAGTCCAGGCTCTTCACCTATACTTACAACATCTGCATTTAAATGCAAAGTCTTAAATTTGAAAGCTAGTGGATCCTGAGAGATTATTCTCACCTCTGCTGCTTGATTGTCTTTGTGACCTTGGGAAAACCACTTTATATCTCTGTTCCTTGGTTTCCTTGGAAGACAGTCTTCACAGCTCCTACCAGCTCTTAAGTGTTAGCATCCCTGGCTTGTCGTTGCAGAGGAGGTGACCCCTCCTGCCCCAAAAAAGAAGGCTTCGGGGGATCTGCTGCAGGGCACTTGTGAGCCCCCAATGCATTTCTAGTGATAGTGATCCCCTTCAGTTCCACAGTTGCCTCCTGCCACATTTCTACCAGACTTGAAATGATAACTTCCTGCTACAGTGGTGATCCAGATGAGAAAGAAACAGAACCTGTTACCCACAGGCAGGTAGTTTTCCCTTCGCAAAGGCCTAATCTTTGCACTTGAATAAGGACAGGAGAGGTTATCTCTTCCACTGTTAGTAAGAAGAGGCCTAACTAGGTGTGGGTTGAAAGACATAATTACTGAAGTGGGGGCATAGGGAGCCAAGAAAGCTTACCTTTCTGGAATGCCTTTCTATACCAAGCCCTATGCTGGGTGCTTTTGGGAGATAATGTATCATTACCCTCAATTATACAGTTGAGGAAATTTAGGCTTAGAATTCCAACCTGTTGTCTGTCCAATTCGAAAGCCCACACTTTTTCCCTACGTCATGCTACTTTCCTCTATATGGATGTAGTTTTAGAGCTGGAAGGATTCAAGTAACCATCTGGTCTACCCCTTTATTTAATACCTGGGGAAACTAAGGCAAGCTCAGCTGTTTGCCTAGAGTCCAAAAAGATAAGATGTCAATTATCTTCTGGGAAACAGGAAACTTACACATCTGTTTTATGGGACATAAAATAAATAATCTTTTAAAATGAGGGTTTTGTATAAAAGGTGGAGGGTGGTAGACCATGTTAAAGGCAGCCAAATTATTTGAAGGGGAGGTCCTTCAATCAATGTGTTTTCATCTGCACAATCCTTAGTTGCATGGAAAAAAAATAAAATCTCCCAACTTAGTAACTAGAAGACTCTGTTAAGCCTATTATTTAATCATCTGACTTGAGAGAAGTATTAGCACAGTGATCTTTGTACCATTTCAGGAGACATTTAAATACCACTTACCTACTTGTTTAGAGTCCCAGATGCTGGTGAGGCAGCTCAAAGGACTTGGAGTTTTATTGAAAAGGAATCTCAGGTTTAAGAGACTGTAATAGAGTTTCTGGAGTCCCTGGGTAGCACAAACAATTAACACTTGGCTGCTAACTGAAGAATTGGAGGTTCACGGCTCCTCAGAAGCACCTCAGAAGAAAGACCTGGTGATCTACTCCCAAAACATCAGCCACTGAAAAGTCTATGGAGCACAGTTCTACTCTGTGCACATGGGGTTGCCATGAGTCAGAATCAACTCCAGGGCAACTGGTTATTTTCTCGGGGGGTTTGAATAAACTTTCAGTCTTTCATAGAGTTGTAATAGCGTCTGTAACAGAGTTCTATAATATAATCAGCTATATAACTATATACCTTGCTCTTCATCTAGGCAGTGGCCCTTTGCCATAGAGCATCATGGAGAGTATTTTCAAATCAAGCTTGAACCAGATTGTCCAGTGGACCTAATGCACTCTCTGGCAGTAAAGTGGTCTCTGACAGAGGTCAGACCTTTGGAAATATTCAGTTCTTTGAAATCACTGAGATAGCATTGTAAACAGTGCAGAATTACACAGTGACCTGGAAACAGTTACTGTAAAGGGGGTAATGCAAACGAAGCTGTTGTTTAGGAAATGTGCCCCACGTGTATTTTGTTGGATGGGCAGATTCTTAGAATTCTTTGAAATTAGGATTGGAAGGGATTTTAGAGATTCTAATTCTATAATTCTCCAACTTTAATGAGTGTGTTGTTATACTTGAATTAAAGTTTAGAAAAGAAACTATAATAAGCCCAAGGATCATCTGGGAAGTTTATTTTAAAAGCCAGATTCCTAAATCCAATCCCCAAAAACATTGGTTCAATAGACGTGGTGGGGCCCCAGAATGTGTATTTGGTAACAAGCCCCACCCTACCTCCAGATTATTTTGAAGCAGATGGCCTGAGGGCTAGGCTTTGAGGAACAACCAATCTCATTTCATCGAGTCATTTTATAGATGAACAAACAAAGGTCCAGAGGGATGATAGCAGTTGCCCAGGGTTATGTGGTTAATTAGCAATGGAGATCTGGGGACAGGACCCAAATGATTTTCTCACCATTAAGGGTACTTTTTATTATATCACAATATCTGAACATTGGACATAAAGGTGAGAAGCTTTAGAAACCTTGGGACAGTGACAATTCAACAGAGATTGATTCTCTGTACTTTGATTACAGTCTTAAGGCTTGTGGGCTAGTAAGAGCTCTTGAGTTCCAACTCCTTGTTAAATTCATAAAGGACAAGTATAGTGGTTTTTATCATGAGGATTGATTCATCCAGTTGTCATGAATTGTGGGGGCTCTTCATAAAGTTTAAGGAGTCCCTGGATTGTGCAAATGATTAATGCACTCAGCTGCTAACTGAGTGTTAGAATTTCAGGTGTACCCAGAGGCACCTCAGAAGAAAAGCCTGGTGATCCCCTTCCAAAAAACTGAAAACCTGATGAAGCACAGTTCTACTCTGACACACATGGGGTTGCCATTGTCAATTTGACAGCAGCTAGTTTTTCATAAAGCTTAACAGGGTTCAACCCTATCAGGAATTTCTATGTCAAATTTATTCCTTCAAAATTTACTATACTTACAAAAACTCTAGCCTCATAAACACTTTCCTGAATCAAACAAGAATACTTGTCTTCCAAAGAACATGATTTTCTCTCTGCAGTACATTTCAGGACGCTTCTCCATGGCAAGATATGATCCAAGTAATCATTCAGCAAAATTGTTCTCTACTATTTGAACTGATACATGTATTTTGTTGTTGCTGTTGTTTTGTGCTATCGAGTCAGACCCTACTCATAGTGACCCCTCCTTGGGTTTCCAGGGTGATATCACTACAGAAGTAGATTGCCCAACCTTCCTTCCAAGGAGTAGCTGGTGAGTTTGAACCTCCAGCCTTCTGGTTAGCAGTCAAGTGCCTTAGGCACTATGCCATACCTTATACATGGGAGCTCTGGTGGTATAGTGCCTAAGGCATGTGACTCCTAACCAGAAGGCTGGCTGTTCAAACCCACCAGCCACTCCTTGGAAGGAAAGTTGGGCAATCTACTTCCGTAGTGATATCACCTCGGAAACCCAAGGAGAGGTCGCTATGAGTCGAATGCAACTCAATGGCAGTGAGTGAGCCAGGTCTATACTGCCTAAAATATCCACATAAGACTCCCACAGCGTAGGTACTACTCTTGCCCAAGGCTGGACAGCTAAAGATACTCTCGATTGCAAGAGAGTATGTAGAGCAGTTATAAGAAATTCCAGTTTACTTTTGACCTGGTTTTGTAAGGTTACAAAAAATTAAATTGGACCTCCTTTTAACAATGTGATAAATAAATTGCTTCCAGTGGCTTTCAAAAAATATTGCATCATTGAAAATTCTGGAGTAGGAGAACTTCATTATGTATAAACTAGTATTGGGACCAAGGATAACTTTCTTCATATCAACTGTTGAGGTTAAATTAAGAAAAGCAGATTGTACAACGATTTAATTTCCAAATTAAGAAGCATTTCATGAGTCCTCACAAAGTACAAGCTAGTTGCCATGGTAGGATGGGGATATAAGATGAATTAGTTAAAGGACCTTATAGTCCAGTAAAAGAACTAAGCTGCATACACAAATTACTATGACACCCAGAGGAACGTGATAGGTGTACTCAAAGAACTTCAAAGTGTCATGAGACAAGAAAGAAGATGAAGGAAGTCTTCTTGCGAGCATTGATAATTGAGTTGGGCAACTACAGTTGGAGAGGGGCAAAAGGAGAACCAAACTAAAACCAAACCAGTTGTCAGTGTGTCATATTGACCCTTTAGGACAAAGTAGAACTGCCCCATAGGGTTTCACAAGGCAGTAAATCTTTACAAAAGACTGCCTAATTTTTGTCCTATGAAGTGGCTGATGGGTTGGAACTACCAACCTTTCAGTAAGTAGCTGAGCACTTAAACACTGCAACACCAAGACTCCTCAAAAAGGATGAAGAAGAATTTTTTTTTTATCAATTCCATAACACAGTGAGAAGCTTCATAAAACGTTTTGCTATGTAAGAGCACAGCAGGGTGGACTTAAATAATGGTAGTTTCTATAGGTCTGACCCAAGGCAAACGGAACCCATAGCCTTTGAATAGATTCTGACTCACAGTGACTCTACATTGCAGACTTAAACTGCCCTCGTAGGGTATCCAAGGCTGTAATCTTTGCAGATCT